TAGGTGAACCCTTTGGAGAGATTTTTGGCATGGTAGCAGCAGTCAGCAATGTCAGAAGCAAGAGTTGTCCACTCCCCATCTTAACCAAGGAAAGACAGGAAAGAGATTAGGACTTATTTTAGAGGGTTTGGGGGCTTTTTGTTGTGGATTTTTTTTGGGGTTTGTTGGGTTTGTTGGCCAGCCTTTGTGGATGGTGCTGCTCTCTGTACATGTGTCCAACTCACCTCTGAAATCAGCTGTTTTATATCTGGTTTATATGAATATATATATTAATCAATCTGGCAATATTGCTTCAGAGCAATAGTGAAACTTTACTGTATAGTTTCTGTTTCTCTCATTCATTCCAATAATCTCTAATGCAAATACACATCAAGATCTCAAAATAAATGCTTAGTAAAATCACGATTTTTTTTTTCTTTTCCCCATTGGTGCTGTCTTGAAGCTAATTGAAACCATGAAGTGCAGGATTTCAGGACAGAACCATCCAGTTGCATCCTCCTAGCAAACCCAGTGTTTGAAACTTGGGCAGATTTACTCAGCTTTTATGAAGCTCAGATGATGTCTCAAGGGACTGAACTTGTAGGTATGGTTTGGAATCATTAGTCATGGGACTAAGTTTTGAAGCAGAAAACTAGCAGCAAACATTTATTGATCATTCATCCTGTGTTGGAGCAAAACTAGAGGAGGTCCCGGAGATGCTGGGAGGGCTGGAGCAGCTCTGCTCTGGAGACAGGCTGGGAGAGTTGGGGTGTTCAGCCTGGAGAAGAGAAGGCTCCAGGGAGACCTTAGAGCACCTTCCAGTGCCTGAAGGGGCACCAGAAAAGCCGGGGAGGGACTTGGGACAAGGGCAGGGAGGGATGGGATGAGGGGGAAGAGTTTCCAGCTGGAAGAGGGAGTTGGAAATGAGATGTGAGGGAGAAATTCTTTCCTGTGAGGGTGGGGAGAGCCTGGCCCAGGTTGCCCAGAGAAGCTGTGGCTGCCCCATCCCTGGCAGTGTTGAAGGGCAGGTTGGATGGGGCTTGGAGCAACCTGGGCTGGTGGGAGGTGTCCCTGCCCATGCAGGGGGGTTGGGACTGGATGGTCTTTAAGGTGCCTTCCAACCCAAACCACTCTATGATTCTGTGCTTTCACATGATGTGTGTCACACACTTGGCCATTGCTGTTGTGCTCAATGCTGAACTCAACTGTCTGTGTCTGCCTGAGCTTAAACCCATCCTTTCATTCAAATCAACCCTGGTAGAAGCCTCAACCCCCAGGACAAGCAGTAGTTTTCCACCTCAAACAAAGATATCAGGGACTTTGCAGGGTACTGGTTGAATGAAGGGTTGTGTATGGGTAAGGAGCAGCTACAGCTTAGAAACAGAGAACAGTGTCTGCAGAAGCAGTGTGCAAAAGCCTGCTGCCAAAGAATGGACCAAACAAAGGTTTGTTTTTCTATCTTAATCCTCCAGTGCTCAGGAAAGCAGAATTTTGCATGTTCCTGCCAAATGCACAGAACACAACAGAAGTTTGTAGATGCTGTTCCTTGTTTTTCTTCCTAATTGGAACAACTTGCATTTGTATCCTCCCCAAAGCCTTGTTTAGAGTTGTCTCAGAAGGAATAATGAGGGAAGGAAAAGTGGCTGACACCATCTCCAGAGTGAAAAGACAGAAAGCTGCTGCCCAGGCTCATGCTAATCCTGAAGAAAGTGCACATGTGTTTGGAAAATTTGAAGAAGGAACATGGAGCAGTTGAAGGCAAAGGGCTGTGTGTGTGTGACTGCAGAGGGAATTGCTCTCAGACAAAACATTCCTAATAGCAACAGCAAAAAGCAATCCCAAGAGAGGAGGAGCACGCCTGGGGATTTGATTCCAAATTTGTGGAATTAAACAAGAAAGCATCCATTGACTTCACCAGGCTCTGGACTAAGCCTTGGAAGAGAACATCAAAGGGATGATGCAGTTTTTCCAAACTTTTGTTGTCTTCTCCTGGCTGTTTCCCCTAAGCTTCCTCCTGCATCACCAATGGAAAAAGAAAACATGGCTGTGAAGTGTAGGATGAATTCCCTTTTGGATAGACCATCTTCCTCCTCAGACTGTCTGGGTGTAGGATGATATTGTCTGCTGATTGTTGTTGCTGGGCATTATTAGAGTATAATGTTGTCAGAGCTGTAATTTGGGAGGATTACTCAGGGCTGTGCATCTGGCACCAACCAGGCACATCCTTCTGTAGCTGTTCCCTTTTTGCTCACAGCTTTCACACCACCTGGTTGGATTCACACTTTAGCAAAGCCTTTCTGTGACTATGCATATTCCAGGCTGATTTAGCCAGCACAACATCTAACTTTTAGATGTCTAAATGGTGGCTGCATGAATTTCCTTCCTAATTGTAAGTGAGGGAGTGAAAAACAGGATGTTTCTGAACAAAAATAAAATATCCAGCTGGTGAAGAGATCATACACATTGAGATGTTCCCTGCAAGGAATGAGGGCATCACTCTACTTTACCTTCAGTCTTGCACTGGACAGTGTAATGGACTGGGATGTTGGTTTCTACAGGTTTCCAGGCCACCTGCACTGCATCCTCATGGACATCTATGATGTCAGGGGGTGGAGGGCTGGGAGGAACTTCTGTGGAGAGGAATCACAAAAAACAGTTACTGTTTGTGATAGCACTGCTGCCATACATACCTCTGCATCCAGCAGTCCTCAGAGACATTCTTCATATGTGCACATGGTGTTATGCATTTGTGTGTGTATATATAAATATGTGTGTATTATATATGTATCTGCACACACCCCTGCTGTGCCATATTTAAACTCAATAAGATTCTGAAGTCTGGTTCTGGAACCACATGGCTACTGGGGTGGCTCTGAAACCAGCAGAGAGACTAAAGAGTGAAGAAGAGGGAATAAGCCCTGGAAAATGTGCCACTCTAGCTGAAAGAAAGGGCTGTGGATCAGAGCCAGCAAGGGAGAGATTGCCCTGTGAATCAACCTTCAGGACTCTCACCTCACAGGTATTTACAGGTCACACTTTTGGGCAGAAGTACTTGCAACACCTACTTCTGTAGCTGCTACTTCTCTTACCTGCTTTTCTTATGACACAAGAAGTGGATGCTGAGCCCAGGGAGTTTGTGGCCACGCAGGTGTAGATACCAAAATCATCAGGATTAACAGAGAGAATCGTCAGGAGCTGGAAGCTTTTGAGCGTGGCTGAGATGAGGATCCGGCTGCTGCTGTGGACAGGTATCCCATCTGAAGAGAAGCAAACAGCAGACATAAGGAGCCTGCAAGTTGATACCAAAAATCCACGCTGCACCCCTGTCCCAGAGGTTAGGGACTCCCTAGAGGGGTGCCAGTGTCACCTCGGAACCAGCTGATGTTCAGGGAGGAGTGAGTTCCCGTCCGGCACGACAGGGTCACGCACTGCCCCACGGCAGCAGCCTGGTCCATCAGCTCCTCCACGAAGGAAGGTGCTGCAAACAAGAGGGAGAGCAGCAATTTAGAGGGGTCAGAAGGGCTACCTGGAAAAAAAAAATAAAAATGGATTGCATGCAGAAGATCAGAAAACATGTTTAAGTGGTTCAGGAACGTTTCTGATTCATGCTCTGGGTTTCCTTTGGCCACCAGGACAGGAGTTAAATAAACAGAGGAGGCTGGGTCATAATTGCATGAGTTGGTCCAGGTCCTCTCAAGACAATAATTGCAGACCCATCTATTGAAACCACCCTCAGACAGCACTGCCATATTAATTGCTGTGATAAAGCTGATGGCTTTTGCAACAGCCATACCTTTCTCCTTTGGCATGAGGCTTGATAACTTGAAGGAAGCGAGTCCTGATTTCCTCTTCAGAGACCCTTCAGCCCCTGCTAACAGCTCTTTCTCTACTGCCTCACTTCCCAGCTCGCCAAACTCTGTTTGGAAGAGAGGATGAGAAGTCACCCAAGGCCATCCTTCTCCCTGGGGCTCCCATTTACAGCAGACAGTTCTGGGATTTGCACGTGGATTGTTCAATGGTCACAGATTTGCTTATTAATGAGCCAGGTAAGTCTGTGACAGCTATTACAAAGAGAATGGTGTCCTGGAGGAACAGGGCATATCTAGGGATGGCAGAGAAGACGGGGCAGATTCTAGGTAGCCAGGTTGACCTCACCAACTTCTCCCAGTCACTTTAGCTTTAAAGATTTGCCAGATGAGAACTGCAGAAGAAACTGCAGCATGGAAAGCACCACCCAGCCCTGGTCTGCTTTTGTGCAAACTCAGAGAGGGGAATTTAAGCTGCTTCCATCAGCGGGTTAACCCAGCTGACTCTGCACTGAAGTGAGTCTGTAACAGAGCTGGTGGTGAAGAGAGCTAACTCATATCCTGCCACAACCAGATCTGCAATGACTGTCTGACCTCGGCCTCAGATAAGCTGAGGAAAAAGGAAAAGGCAGATTTAGCAGAGCTCAGTTATAGCTGCAAACTTGTGAAGGTACAGAGTAAAATACTTACCTTCCTCTGGTTCTGGCTCAGGTGATATCTTTCCTTTTAGGATTCTTGAAATATGGGCAACAGAAGCTTTTACTTTCTGCTTCAGACTCTGCTCCACTGACTGCTCCACTGAATGAGACCTTGCATATGGCTTGAAGAGTCCTGACTTGTTGTAGAAGGAGCTTTTCTGCTTCCCACTTGAGTCCTTTTGGGGACCATACATTTCCTTATGACTCTCTGCCCCTTTCCCCATGCCTAATAAGTTAGTTGCCTTTGAGTCCTCTGATATTTCCAAATGGTTCTTCCTGTTCTTGTCCTCTGCCTCTTCTCTGATGCACAGTCTTTTATCCTTATGCAAATGCCCTGCAGGAGGTGACCTTGCCCTTTCAGCAAAAGGAATAAAACGTCTCCCAGTTGGCTTGGGTTGAGGCTTCCTATAGTTCAGAAACTCAAATGGAAAATAGACAATGTCATACAAGTCAGAGAAATTCATATAGGCAGGTTCTACCTCTGAGATGTCAAATTTTTTTCCAGTGCCAAGACTGGGTATTTCGTCTGACAGGTCATTGATTTTCACTAAAGAAACTTCTGGGTATTTACCAGTGTCCTTGCCCACTGTGACTTGACTGGGTTTTTCTCCAGTGTCCAAGCTTTCTGTTGAGGAAACGCTCACTTGGCTGGAAGTTGGGCTCTCAAATGCTAAGTCCTCCAGATGCTCACATTCATGAGGAACTATCTGTGCTCCCTGCCCTTCCCCTACCACTGACTCCTCACTCAAGACAAGAGAGGGTTCTGCAAGGTCATCCTGTTCAGAGACTTCTCTTTTACCCCAGTGTACAGAAGGGGAGGAGGTGTCTGTGGGTGCTTGGCTACCCGAGCCTTTGTAGAACATTTCTGTGGGAGGAGAGATGTGCTTTCTGCATTCCTTCTCACCAGAAACTGACTCTGCCCAAACATTCACCTCTTCAGAGAGGGAGACCATCTCGTCCACTAACCCCTCTAGTGCAGCAGACTCCTCATCACTGTAAAAAGAAGACCTGTGATGTGAGAGATCCTGACGTTTTTCCCTGCGGAGTGATGGTGGGACAGTTTTTCCAGCATCACAACTTCCACTTTCCAAGGTATCACCTCTATCTTCACCATAAACTTTGGGATGTTCCTCATATTCTAGCTCACAGACTGAAGCTGGAGCAACATCTTGTTGTGAAGCAGTTAGAACACCTGGAGGTCCACCCTCCAGATCAGCACAAACTCTGCTGCTGGGACGGGCAGCCCTGTGCTGCTCAGACACCTGATGTCCAGCCTTGGGGAAAGGAGCAGGCATGGTCTGCCCAACAGCTTGGCTTCCACTTGCTGTCACAACAGATCTCACCTCACTGGCCAGTGATGCCTTTGGGTGGTCTTGCTTTTCACTCTCACAGACTGAAGAGAGGCCAGTGTTTTGGGAGGACACAGTTCTAGCTGGGTGTCTGCTCTCCAGAACAGCAGACACTGTGCTACTGCCTTCAGAGACCTTCTGGGGTTCAAGTCCTTCAATTTCAGCCTCATGGGCCAAACTGGGAGCAACCTCTGCAGCAGCTGAGCTGTCACCCCTCAGAGCAGTGAGTCTCTCCTTGCTAGGAACTGGCCATTCCCTTCCAGCCTGCTGTGCTCCATCAGAGACCAAAGCTGAAGTTGATTTTGGTGATGGGACTTTTGAAACAGCAAGATCCTCTCCCTTCAGAGCAGCTGACACTGTGTCTGTGTGAACAGAAGACCTCTCGTGTGCTTGATTTTTATCATCATAGGCTGATGGTGGGGTGATTCCTGTAATACCCAGTCCTTCATCCACCAGGACAGTAGGTCTCTTCTCTTCATAGGTCTTCAGCTGATGAGCACCTTCCTCAGCTTTGTGCAGAGCCGTTAGGGTACCTGGCTGCTTGCCCACCAAGACAGTAGCTCCTGGAACACTTTGACCAGGAAATTCCTGACCTCTGTCTTTACATACTGGAAGTGAAGCAGCTTCTGTTGGTGGGCCTGCTGAAACAGCAGAGCTTTCCTGCTCCGTGAGATGAGATTTAGCAGAAGTTTCCTCACGTGACTGTTTCTGCCTTTTGTCTTTCCAAGGTACATCTGGGGCTGTCCTTTTGATAAGCAAGTTTGCACCTTTTAGATCCGGAGGGATGTCAGTAGCAGGAGCAGACTGCTGGGGCAGACACACACCTCCCTTCCTTGCAGGAGCTGGCCTGGAGGTGACCTCTGACTGTGGGAGAGCTGACATGGACTCTTGGCCTTCCTGAAAAGCAGGGTCGGAGGCACTGCCAGGGCAAGGTTTGCCCACCAGGCTTTCATGTTTTTGACCTGATGATGCAGTCACATCTGAGCACGGGGTAGTTAGAACAGGGCTTTTGCCTTCCAAACCTTCAACATCCTCCTCGACGTAAGTAGCTTTTGACTTCTTCAGTAAAGGTTTCTTGTTCTCACTCCTAGGAGGTGACACTGGAGGTCTCTCCAGCTGTTGCACAGAAGCAGCTGGGCACCCGTTACCCTCACAGTGTGCAGAAGGAGAGGGCTGCTCTTCTGAGCCGTCCTTGCTGGCTCTGCTGAGCTCCTCTCGCTTTGAAGCGTCGACAGAACATCTCTTGCCGGGCCCCGCAGAAGCGTCGCAATGGACTCTGCCTTCAGGGCAACCTTCCTGCGACGATATATCACAGTCTTCTTCCAAAATATCTTCTTCCCTCAAGGACCTGGAGGCCCTCAGCCTGTAGTCATCCAGGGACCGGCTGCGGCTGGCACCAGCGATGGCAGGATGTGGTGGTTTCCTCGCGGTGTCAAACGAAGCTGATTTGGTCAAGGAACCAAGAAGACTTTCCCTGCGATGGTCTCCATCCTCAGACTCCCCTTCTTCTTCTTCCAGTTCAAACTGCTCTAGGAGAGGCTCACGGAGACCACTCAGGGGAACCTTTGAATATCCAGCTTTCCGGAATGTCCTCCTGGCTCTGTCCAGGTGCCTTCTGAACTCCCTGCCTGGTGAGGAAGGCCCCCTTGCAGGGAGCTCAGTTGCTTGGCTGTAGAACGTGCTTTTAATGACACTCTGCCTAGGAACACAGACAGATGGCTTGTCTGTCCCATCCTCAGCCTTTGCAATTCTGTCCTTATCACATAAAGAGATGTCTGGTTTTTCCTTCTGACCCAGATGAGATGTGCTTTCTGTGGAGGTCCTTACTGATGAAGGCTCAGCAGCACCACTTCTTGGGGACTGCTCTGCTCTTCCAACTTGAAGTCTGGGATGGAGCCCCTCCTTCTCCTTTAAGATACTTGCCATGAGCTCTTTGGTTTCTGCAGGTGATTTGTCCCCCACCTCAGCTTTCGCCGATGCATACTTCCTCCTCATGGGCTTCACTGGTGGGATTGAGATTTTGGAGTGCTTCTCCTCACTTGCATGTTTTGCAGGCTCCTGATGGCTTGGAGCATCAAATATGGACACGTGCAGTTCGGGGGTAGAGCCAAAGTGCCTCTTCTTGGGGAAATGTGAGTTCTCATTGTCTGAAGAGGAGCCACTGGTGCTGGACGAAGTGCTTTCCTCAATGAGGTGTCGGGAGATGGCCAGGGAGGTGTTGTCATGAGTCCTTTCTAGGATTTCTGGGATAGACCTCATGACCAGTATGGATTTGTAGCACATCAGAGACCGCTGAAAAGCAAAACAAATGGAAAGTCAGATGGAAACATGGTGGGAGGATGACAAAGCAAGCATGCCAAAATGGACTTCTGACCTTTCAATACCACACAGACTGGTTTAATAACACACTGCCACCCCTTTGTACATGTCATCAACCCAGGCTTCATTTGGTCTCTGAGTCTTCCTTTTATCTTATTCACAGAGGTGAAACTATATTGACTTCAGGGGACACACTTGCTGTTGTGAAAGGGGAAGCAGGACCCTGCTTGAGATTTTCAAAGGCCATCTGGCCACTGAATGCAGATGGAAAAGGGTTTTTTAATGGAACACATCAGGTGAGATCCTAGCTGGAGTAAGTGGCTTTAAATCCATTGACTGCAGTACAACCTAGCAGAAGACCTACCATACTGCAGGAGGTAGGATTCATCTGCTCTAACTTCTGCCATGTGAGACATCTCAGTTGAAGCTGAGCAGCTGGCCTTTCCTTACAGCCAGCAGAGAGAAACAGGCATCTTCAGAAGCAACCAATCTGCTTATTTGACAGAACATCAGGAAAAGGAGAATCTCCTTGGGACCTGTCTATAATTTCATTCCAATTGCACAGGCAGCTGAGGGCACCTCACTTAGACACAAACACGTGTCTTACAGGCACCTGCATTGGCCCAGATGATTTCCAGGCAGTGAAAAGCCAAATAATTTATTCCTGCCACATCCATGTCTCCCTGGACTTATTCCCCATTCACAGCCATGCAGGGATCTCTGCTGTGCTCACATTCCTAGCCCAATAGAAGTTAAAATATGTGAATGGAATTAAAAATATAACCAAAAAGAACCAACATAGATTAAGGTCAACTCACCTGCCACTTGCTCCGAGCCACAATGAATTTGAGCTGCTTGGTATTAATGAAATGAGCTGCTTCGAGGGGGAGATTGTGCTGCCAGGTGGAATGAAAGGAAAATCACTGGTTAAAAATACTGACCTAATTTCCTTAGAATCTATCTATCTATCTATCTATCTATCTATCTATCTATCTATCTATTTATTTAGGATTCCCTCCTTCCAGAACTGTTTAGTTTAGGAAAGTTCCAAAAGACCAAATGCTACAATCCCCTTGTGGCTAAATTGAAGACAATTTCAGCTTTTCAATTATAAAAGCAAGCCCTGTTCAGTGCATGTCATTAAATTCCTTTGGTTTTGTTGTTTATTTTTAGCTCCTCTCCTTAGCAATTTCAGGAGTTGGAATATAAACCATAACTGTGCTCTGCAAAGCCACAGTTTTCTTTTCTATACAGATATTTTATATTTGCTTAAGCCAGTAGTAACCTTTCATAAGGAAAGGTATCTTGGCATGTAAACACCAATGTGTCTCCTCTTTCTGGAGAGCCATGCCTGAGTTTCTCTGTCGGACAGAAAGTAGGAGACCAAGAGAAAAAAAATAAACCAGAAAAATAATAGAAAGCAGCTTTATGAGCTGTCTCTCCAAAGATCTCTTCCAACTTCAACATTTTTAATGACTTACCATGAACCACTTGTGGGAAAGACAGTCCAAAGCACTAGGCCTGGCTCTGATAAGAGAGAAGATCACCATTTTAGTAGCAAGTCACTTCCAACAGCAACCACAAGGTCTACCTGGAGGTGCCTCCTTCACATGCACACTTTGTGTGTGTCCTTATGCTGCTGTTACTAAGCCAAGAAGCCAAACAGGCAGGCAGAGCTTTCCACCCAAGGTTTCCTTTCCTTGAGGTGAAACAATCCTCCTTTTCCACTCTGAGACTCCCTGCTGATCCTCAGGAAGATCCCATGGCACTCTGCAGGGAGCCTTTTCAAGGGCATCAAGAGAAGCCCTAAAAGTGACTTTGACTCCCTCAGTGGCTGGAGCTCAAATAATTTTGGCAGCAGGGGGGGAAGAATAGAAAGGAAATGAAAAAGCAAGCACCTGAAAATGTGCCTTCAAGCCTCCTTTTCCACTTGAAATTACTTAATGAATGTGGTTAATATTATTTGATTCTGACATAACTCCCTCTGTCCCCATCCTTGCTCTTCCCACTTCTCTGTGTCATTTCAGCAACTCATCTGCCTGGAGGGAGCAAGGACATCACCACACCAGAAACAGGCCAATTAGGCAAATTGCCAAGTTGTGATTTGGATAATGGGGAATAATGAAGGAGAATTAGGGCATAACACACCACAGCTCACTCAGCTGTCTCCTTTGCAAGACAACCACTGCTTTGATAGGCTGAGACACCAACATCTTTGCACACTGGCTGGAGGCAGCACAAAAGTGCACTCACGTGGGCTGCTGCTGTAGGATCCCTTTAATAAAGTCCTTTGCATCTTCACTCAAGTGAACAAAATCAGGAATGGTCCATGAAATTTTCCCATTCTGGATATTGAGAAGGGTTCCTCTGTCGTTCTCCCCAGCAAATGGGGACTTGCATGTTAGGCTTATTTATTGAACACCATGAAATGAAAGGAGACAGACTTTAGAATGTATGAATCACAGAAGCACAAATGTTTACACGGGGCTTTAAAATCCCTGAGGGACACCACGCATGGGACTTGCAGTGCTTGTGAGCAGCACATCCACTCCCAGAGCACCTTTCACCCCAGCATTCCATGGCACTGAACTGAATTATTTATGCTAGATATGGAATTAAGGGTTTGATTTTGCACAGCTACACCAGGGTATTGGCTAAAAGAGACAAGGAGGAAGCTGAACCTCATCCAACACTCTCATTGCTAACTGCAAGGAGAGCAGCTCTCAGGTCTTGAAACAGGGACAGTGACCAAAGTCCTGAGCAACCAGGAAAGAGCG